AAATTGCTTTTAATAACTAAAACTCTATAAACTGATTAAATTATTATTGCTGCGAAAAATATAAATAAAATATTTATGCTAATATTAGTATTAATTCATAATGTATCTAATAGTATTTATATTAACTTTATATATTAAAGATAATTAATATTATAATATCATACAATTTCGCTTTAATTTCCAGTTCTAATAAGCTTATTAAAAATTATCTAAAATTTATTGATTCTCAGTTTTAATAAAAATCTTAATTCGACCTTATTTGTTGCAGTTCATTGATGAGTAATACCATAATATTGTTTAATATCTACAAATATTTGCATGTTTTTGAATTAATTAATTGATCTGAAATCAATTAATAGATTAATAAAAAAATTTGCTAAATTAAATATTAATATATTTTAATTTATGAATGCACATCTCTTTTAAATATGCGCAAAGAAGTTCCCATCACGAGACGGAAATTGCCTGGAGTACTTTAAAAGCTTATATTACTGCTCAGAGCACTGTGCTTATATCTATTCACATAACAGATGTATAAAAAACATTTCACCACATTACCAAACCAACTAATTCACTGAACTTTAATTCCCCGAATAATAAATATCAGTATCGTAAAACAGCTTCTACAGCTGTACAAGGTTTCTTCGGATACAGTACTCGTCACCAACTCTCATTAAGTTTAGAAATAAATGATTCAGAATATTTTCTAACATAAAAATATTAGTAATATATAATTAGTAAATATATAATATATATAGTATGTATATATATAATGTATAATATTAATGATATAATATATATATGGTGTAATAATATTATATATATTAGTAACATATGTATAATTTTTTATAATATAGAAAATTATATAATAGTATATATTATTATATTACATTATAATATTAATAAATATTTTTATTAATATATCATTTATAAATAATTATTGTTTTTAATTATTTGTATTATTTTATTAGCATATACTCACCAAGATAATCAACATTTCATTTTTCACCAGTCTATCACAACATTGTTGCAGCACACTACATAGAAAGTTAAATATGTGTTTATAATTCTCAAATTGTTTAAATATGATTTTTGATAAATAAGTTGAAAAGTCTTTAATGGGTAATAAGATTTTAATATAATAACATGAATTAGGTTAATATACTTGCGCATTTCCAAACGTTTTATTGTGTAATAATTACTTAAAGATTGTTTTTAATAAAGAACTATACCTCTAGAACAGTGATTGATATCTGCATCTACCCACAGAACGAATACTTAAAAACAGAATTCCTTTTAGAAATCTATATCTGCATATAACCACAGACCTAATACATAGAATTATAAATGTTAATCTAAAAGCAAGAATATTTTAAAAAAAACCTTAAAAAGAATGTCAGATCACTCATTCAACATATGATATTCTTAGGGACATGACTTAAACTTCACATATTTTTGGAATAGAACAATTAACGAAATTATTTGAAACTACCACTACCCTAGGAGAATCCCATCGACCATCAATTATCAATAAACACAAACTGAGCTTTAGCTTTAAACTAAGCTTTAGTATCTCTTTAAAAGCAAAAGGAATAACTTCATAAATCCAATTCTCATCTATAAGTAAGCCATCACATTATCTCTACCGTATGGTTGTACCGCTTTTAGAAAGGCAGTGATATCAACCTATGAGACCCTCCAAAACTTCAAAACATCATCCAAAAGAAAATATTTAAAATTGCCAGTTATGTGTTTAGAGCTTTCTAATTTGTCTCTCTTCTAGGCCCTCTTTTGACACAAAAACATCTCACGTCGCTTATCATTACTATTTTGTTGTATGGTGCAGAAGTATCATACAGTAACCCACAGTGATAAGAAAGATATATATGCCATTACGCATTAGTAACGAGTATCGAATAGAGCGTTGAGCTATGTAAACCATATCGCAACATTGACATAGTTATGCACATAAAAACTCAGAGGTTTCACTGACTTGGGCATGTTGTACAAATACACAAAAAAATGGTCCAGCTGAAAAGGTATTTAATTCGGTACCCGCTATTAAAAAATGATATAGACAACGTCCACTTCTACTGTGAAAGAACTGCTGACCAACGATATGAAGGCACTCGGTACTGCCAACTGCCGATAGTAAGCCACTGATCAAACCAATAGAAGGAGGCGACTAGATGCGGCTAAAGAAAACCCACATCTATATTGGCAAACTGAGAGAAATAAGTAATATGAAGTATTTATAAATTATAAAGGAAAATTTGAATATAATTATATACCTGTCATTTAGCATCTTGGAGTATTTAGCCATCACTAAAGTGTTTGCTAGTTTAGGTTACTTATAGGAGTATAGAAGTACCATATCCGGCTGATGCGTTATCATCCCAGGCTGAGGGCTCGGATGCTTAATCATTTTGTTGTTGAAGTAGGCATCCCAGACGAATTAAAAATTTTTGTGTTATAGATTGTAAGTCAGAGATTTGGACACCAATTTTTTATTGTTGTCTTTCTATATATGGTATGTATGTCAGATTTCTGATTTTTTTGTATTGAAAATGATTTTATTTTGATTCCATTGCTTACATATTTAAATTAAGAGAATAGTTTGCTTAATTACTTCGTTCCGAATTACATTTCCTGAATAAGATTTTAAAAACAATACTCGAAAAAATAAACAACCAATACACTGCATTAATATGTTAAGTAATTTAAATTCATTTCATTGTTTTTCAAAAACTCATAAAAAAAACTTTATTGAAACTAAAATAAATATTCAACAATTTGCATTGCGGCAACGGCAAACAATCCAATTTTATTTGCTTTCCGGAAAAATTAACAAAAAATTCAAACAATTACATTTTACTTTTTATTAATTTATTTAAACAATTATTTATTAAAAAATAAAAATGAGTATAATTTATGCAATTCAGGTTTTATTGTTTAAAATTGTAAAACTTTACATTTCAATCATTCAATCATTCGTAAATAAAACAAATAATTTACATCAATATTTACATATATCAAATACAATATTTTTATAATAAAATATGCTAAAAGCGTATTAAGAATTATTTTCAACAAATTTTATTTATTAAATTTTGCTATTAAAATTACTTACGTTCATATTAAATTTATTTATTCATTTTTATTCTTATCCATCCTGAAGAATCAATTAATGCAATTTTCTCTCTTAAGAGAAAAATCATATTAGGAATTTAAAGTATAACAATATATAAAATATTATATGATCTATGTGTAAAATATAATTTAATAATTAATATTAAAAAAAATAAATTTATATATTATATATAACAAAATATAAACCAGATTATATTGCTTTTTAAGCTTACGGTACCAATAAATTAAACGAAATTTATCTACACATTAAAAGTATATATGGAGTCCAAAAGCTTTAAAAAATATTAAAGTTTAAAACTAAATAACTTCTTGATATAAAAATAATTTTAATTAAATAAACATATTTCCTCAAAGCACTAAATTTTATTTACGCGGCCCAATACATGTTACTCATACGCACCGAGGCACCTTCACTTACATTACAAAATTAATTTGTTGGCTGTAAGGTTAGGTTCATGATCATTATGTGTTTTATATTGATATATATAGCAAAAATATATATCTTTAAAAATATATTTGTTACAATAATTACAACAACAAATTTATAACCAGTTTCAAATTTTTGAGTTTTAAACGATATCACAAAATTATGAAAATAAGTCATCCCATCGAATTTAGATAATTTAGTAGGTCTTTCATCTTCACTGATAAACACTCTGATAAACTATCAAAAAAATTTCTTCCCAAAAACCTATATCTTCTGGACGTAAAAGCCGAACATTTACAGAGAAAAAGTATTATGGTTTCTTTTTCCTGTGGGTTTTTACAACTTCTGGAGTGAGCATTATTAGGAATGCGCCAATGGCCAGAAAGAACTGCAGTATGCCTTGCAGTGTTCACATGGTCTCTTTTGATGATTTCTAAGCTTTTATTTTTATTATAGGTGGGCCATGTTAATCTGAAAGTTGCACATGACTTAAGAGCTTTCCATCTGTTATTGACAGGTTGCAGAAAGTAGAAAAAGGTACATCTCTTAATGGTTTCTAGGGTAACGTAAACCGATACCGCTAGGGACACATACAGGGAAGCACCAAAGCTGGCTAAACTGTCAGCTTTCTCATTCCCTTTAAGATTCCTATGTACAAGAATTGATATAATTAAATTTAATTTAATTACTATGTACTTCATATGATATAAAATAAATTCAGAGTCTATTAATTGGAAAAAAAAATTTTAAAATACCACAAAATATATAAAATTTGTTGAATTCATAGTGAACACCCAAGACATCATTTTAACAAATATTTCTATCAACTCAAGAAAAATAAAATCCGAAAACCTAATGTCACATCACCTGTATTAAGTCAAACAAATAGAAGAATGCATGTTTTCACATAAAAATGAACAAGCATATATTTTATAGGTATAAGCATATATATTTATTTATAATATATGTATATTCTATACATATATACTTTAACCCATATTGAACCTGCAGCAGTTGTGTGCTCATTTGCAGACATGCAGTCTGAAGTCTGAAGTCGAATGCATTAAAAATACATACTTCAACATATCTAAGGATGTCTGCATCATATAGTATATGTATAGTATGTATATGGATCTATATGTGTTTATATAAGTAAACGTATATTCTCAACATACTTAGGGTTCTGATATTTTGAAGGCAACACACAAATTCTTTATTGAAAATTTTTCATTTTCTTTACCAAAAACTGAAAAAAGAAAACAAATGCAAATGGGAAGAAAAGAATTTTATTTGTACGTATGTGATAGTGCATAGAGAAAAGAGGAAGTCATTTTGTTTTTTATTTTCCATTTCGAGTTTTCTTTTATTTAAGTTTTCTTTTCTTTTTTTATTGAAAATGACATTTTAAATTTTCATTTTGCAGGTTAATGGCGAAGACGTGTTGGGTCTGCGCATAACGGATATTGCAAAATTGGTTAAAGTTAAATCAGAGCATGTCACGTTGTTACTGTGGAACACCGGTCAGGATGCAAAATGCGATCCTGAGGTAAGTGTTTTCAATTGAATTGCCAATATTACTTGTTTTCAAGTGAAATGAAAAGAAATGCACCATTAATCGATTTTGATTTTACATTTTATTTTATATGCATTTCCTTGATTTATTCATACAAGAATTTCATTTAAAACGGGTTATGGAAATGGAGAAAGAAATTTAAATTCATATTTTTTCGATCAAAGTAGAACATAATGGTTATTAATATTTCTCAAAAATTATGTTAGTACCAGTAATAGTAGTTTCATTCATTAATAAATATTTATCTATTATTTTATCTTAGAGCAATTATAATGCTTAATCAGGAACATATTTATAATCAATCATGAATACATATTTATCTATTATCTTATCTTAGAGCAATTATGTTAAAATGTTAATCAGGGACATAAATTTAATATTTTTTTAGGTATATACTTTCCAATACTTCCAAAATCTTAAATCTTCTGCTGCCATAAACTTTTAACAACCCACGTACTGGAAGCACTAGAAGCAATGACAAAATAAAAGCTCTATTCTTTCCTAACGCATCGGCTCTTAAGTCCGTAGGATAACGAATAAGACAACATCTTTTTAGCAAAATTCGATATAATTTATTAATGCAGACTCTATTTAAGAGCAAAACAATCTTTTCAATTCATCCCTTACACTACTATACCTCTCTTATAGAACGATTTATCTTTCATCTTAAGTTATACTTCAGTATCGAAGATGACTTTTCCATCGAAATCAAATCTGTTATCAAATCTGTTGGAATGTTTTTTGGGGTCTAGTAATCACACGTTTATAAAATCAATTAATACTTTTAGCACTCAGCTCTGTATATCATCGACATCATATATAATTTACTATTATATATCATATATAATATATATGTTAGATGTTGTATTTGTTAAATCGATAAATTTAATTTGCATACGTTTATTATAGTATTGTAGTGGTTTCTTTGTAAAGTTTCATTCGGTTAGTTCTGTTTGTTAGAGAGTTAATTACAATAATCCATAAAGTTAAACTTAGGGAGTAAATGATCTTAATTTATATAAGTGGAAAGTCAAGACTTAATGGCTTGTCTTATCTATCCAATGTTCATATCCATCACATACTCTTAACGTTTTATTTACACTTTAATTACAATATTCACTTAAAAACATTATAGATTATAGATATTTCAAAATATATATTTGTGTTTTCTTAAATATTTAATAAACAGAACATTAGCAACAGTAATCCCATTCAAAACATTCCCTCTCTAAATACCAAAGAAATTTATTGCAGTGTTTAGATAATTTATATAAATCAAATACTAAGTTTAATTTAGTATCTCATGTCACAATTCAAGAAATGTGGCATCAACAAAATATAAATAAAAATTTTTTATATAATTTTTTCTTCTAATGTCTGCACTTTATTTCAGAATCTCTGTTGTGCACCAATGCCACGAAGCTTACAGCGACTTTCTTTTATTGTACAATCCGTACTCTCCATAATAGAATGTCCTGTGTGCCTTGACACAATCACACCACCCGCCATGCAATGTCAGAATGGGCATTTACTGTGCGTAAATTGTCGCATACGCGCTGAAAAATGTCCAGTCTGTCGAGATCGGTACACACCGAGACGTGCATTAATTGCGGAGCAGATATATACCAACATAACGAACGCATTTAACTTGTGTCGCAACGAAGACAGATTGCGGCAGAAAATATTTGGCACAAGTGTTAAGCAAGCAAAATCCTTAGACGAGATGCACAATCACAACAAACAGCAAATGCAAGTATCTGAAAAATGGGAACACTTAAATCCGTGCGTTGAAGTTAATAAATCTAACGGAATTGCAGCCATAAAACCAAATAAAACCGGATTGCCTTTGAAGACATTCCTTAGAAAAAATTCAATGCATAAATCGTGTTCTATGGAAAATCTTGCAATACCCATAGCAAATAGCACCGACATAAAAGCTCTGGCAATGCCATCGACGTTCTCACTTACAACAAATTCAACAACAATTGCAGCAAAAAATATGCCATGCCATAATAACTTGTCGAAGCAAATCCTAGTCCACGCGGATCAAACGCACTGCATGCCTAACCCTAAGAATCAATCGATTTGTGAGGAAGTCCAAGTCAATAGTGACAACATAGGCAGCGCATATGTCAGCGGGGATATTACATGTAAGTCAACAATCATACGTGAAGGAGCAACCACAAACAGTAGCAACTCAACTGTAACCTCAGCAACAAATAAACTGAACGCAGTAAATAGTGTGTCAAAGTATTTTTCATTATCGACAAATGATTTATTGCGCCAACGGCAGCTACCGAATGACCACAAACAGGAGCAACAAAAACCACAAAAAGAGCATAAGGGACACCCGTTATCGCCTGAAGTATTCACTACAAATTATATGACCTACATGGACAATGCACACAGTGCCTCATTACAGTGTCTGGACAACGAAATATGTGATAAAATCTCAGCTAAGCTCAAAAGTAAATCAACGCCAACATCTACAAGCGCATCGTTAACAAATTCACCATTGCCCATCTGGTACCAACGTAGACCCTACACAAAGCGCCATCATTCGTTGAAATGCTTACACAAACGTTTAAGGCCAACAGTTGCAGATAACAACAACAACAGCAACAACAACAACAGCAACAGCAACAACAATGATAACTACTACAAAAACAATGACAATAGCAGTAGCAATGATAATGAGAGCAGTAGCAATGACTTTGTTGACGATAACAACACAAAAGCGATAACAAGCACAAAATTATCATCATCTTCCGCAGCATCATCATCATCATCACCATCACCATCACCATCATTAGCATCGTCAACAACTTGCCTATGTTGCTCCTCGTGCTCATCCAGTACATCTGGTGTTTACACTTCAATGGATGCACCATTTTGCAGTGCAACCATCAAAGATGAGTTATTACCTTTAAAAGCCAACAATGTGGTCATAACAGTTGCCTCATTAGAACATTTAGCGGCAGTAGCAAACTTATCATCACCGTCAGCTTTGAACTCTACTCCAACACCTTCAGCGACAACATCTTCATCAGGCGCATCAACATTTCAGCCAATCACAACGTCTGCTGTGGAGTTAAGCTCTATGAATTCACCTGTTGGTAAGGAATGCACAGAGGATATGACACTAAAAACATCTACATTACCATCATCATCATCGTCATCGTCCCAGTTATCATTTACATCCGTTGAGCATTTGCAGCAACAAAAACAGGATCCAAAAACCGCTGGCAAAAATGTACGTGGCTGCTATTATTGTCCATGTAATTGCGGCAAAACTTTTGATGGTAAGTGCGAAAAATTCCACTGAAATTAGAAATATTCTGTTTATTACTGTTTATCTGAATGAAATGAGGAAGGATATTATGACTGCGTCCTTAGCAATGCCTGATGGCTGCAGTTTTATATAGAAAATAAAACTTTTTTTAAAATAAAAATTCATAAGAGTAACTTTTAAGAAAAAAAATCCAAAACTATAAACTCGTTACTGTAGATAACATAAAATTGAATAAATAAATTGAGATGAAAAATTTCTTTTAAATAGGATTTATGAAGGAATTTTAAAAGAAAACTTATACTATATTTCTCAAATATACCTTCTTTTGGTATAAGATGAAATAAAAATATAACAGGATACTAGCTCCCACTTGAGCAGAGCACTGCGACTATGATTGATCTTTTGTGCTACAACAGACCCTAACCGAACAGAAAACATTCTGCTTTCCGAATGAAGGCTAAAATGTCGACCGTTGAGGACCTTCTAATGTCGGAAGGTGAGAGTAGTTCCCGACCCAGTGATCTCCTCCTGGCCCAGATCAAGGCTGGGCAGTCACATAGAATGTGGCTGGATGTCTCCTCTGCTTCTAAGTAGAGTCTACACTCTATGTCTTCAGACAGACCCATTTTGTTGAGGTGATAATGCAGTCCGTGGTGACCCGTTAGATATCCTACCAGCAATTCTTTTGGTATACTTCAAATTCAATTAAATAATATAATTATCAATTAATACCTTGATGTACCACAATGAGAATAGATCTTTTGTGAGTCACATAAAATACTAACGGTTCTTCTTCCAAAGTTTATATAGAGGCAGAGCAAGGCTAACTAAGTCGTGTGGCATTATCTACCAAAAGTAAAGCATTTAGAAAAGCGATACTCTAAACCTACGATATTCATTTTGCAAAATCGACAGACATTAACTTCAAATTGCCAACTTGTTTAATACGATCGTGTTTAACACTTAAGTAATAAAATACATATTTCAAGAAATCTTATTTTATATAATATTGACCAATACTATTAAGCCAATAATCCTACTTTCTGGTAAATTCATTTGAATAGCTCATAGAAGCGCTAGGAGACGGTAAGAGACGGTAGAGTATTTAGAAGCATCAGTTGGACAGCCTTTTGCATTTTTTATTCCATTAGATACAATTAGCTTAGTTTAATTGCTGTCTTCCTTTGTTTAATTTTTAGCCACTTTGTCAGAGATGCATAAGTGACTACAAGTATTGCTAGCATGATTGGAGTCGTTTGATAGATTTTACCTTTTTTGTTTGATTGTAAGTCATTTCACTTGGAATGCATAAGCGACTATAAGTTTTAAAAAATAAAAAATTTTGGTCAAATGCCTGACTGCTTTATAGCTTAGATTAAACTCATTATAGAAATACTAGGCAGTGTTTAATGGGAGCTTGAAGAATGTTGTGTGTGTAGCACGTTAGAATATAAATTTACTACAACATGCCAGAGACTAAGCAGGAGACAAGACATTAGTACAAAGTTTGTGGATGTAAAATAAGTTAAGAATATGAAAGACACCCATAGAATGTTTTAATTACTTTAATCTAACAATTTGTCTGTGTCTTCCAATTTGAATATGAAAACAAAATAGGATCTTAATAGGGAAATGATAAATTAAACTTTATGTAAGGTTTTTCAGAGCATTTAGATAAATAATTTCATATCTATATTTTTTTGTGACTTACAATTTCAATTAAAATAACTAAAGAAACTTTTTGATATCGGAGTGCTTATTCAGATCATTTATAAGGTTTTTCAGTGTAAGTAGGCAAGTGGCTCCATAAGTAAAAGCTAAAAAACTGAATCAAACTTTTACTAACGGAATGATCATTTAGACTTATTTAATGATTTTTGAGAGAAACTAAGTAAATGGCAATGATTTCATATCTATACATTATTTTTTAAATAGAATTTAAATAACTGAAACAATATTTAGAAAGCTGTCAATCAATGTAAACCATTCCAAATTTAATGTACGTCTCAGTGAACAAAAATAAACTGTGCAGTGCCAAACATAGTGTACTGTTTTGTCTTTTTAGTGAAAGCTACTTCACGAGCAGTACACTAAATAAAGTTTGAAGCACATTTACAAAACTTTTAGTGTTTCTATTCATGAATACAAATTTTGAAATAATAGTGTAATGTTTCTGACAACTCATATAAAATTATTAGTATTCTCGTTAGTGTTCTTTTCACAAAGGTAGTGAACTTTTGTATTGATCTTTTCACGAAGGTAGTAAACTTTTGTGGTAATCTTTTCATAAAGGTAATGAACTTTCGTAACAATCATTCCCTGAAGAAAAATTAAAAATTTTTTCATAGGTATATTTCGGACTTGAGCAATGCACTACAATAGTGTAGTATTTATTTTCGTGCGCTGGTAACATTGATTTGCATATTTATTTAGTAAAATCTCTTGTCTCTTCTCATGCTTGCTTATATTTTTCTTTCTTTCAATTTTTATGTATGTTGAGCATTTTCCGAGTTAATGCATCTGGACATGGCTGGGGGTTTCTGCAGAGTGCCACCCATCTTACTGACTAATTTAGTATTCCTCATAACCTTCGTGATTATTCAATGATTGATCTAAGATCTGCGTACCGCCCCGTGCGTATAGTGATTATTTTAAGATTGGATTGTGCTAAGTAAGGCAGCCTAACGGTTTTCGCATATAGCTTCAGAGCTCTGTCCCTTATGTATTTTTTGACAGGATCTATTCTAGGGTCTCTTAACATGTCATTCATGCGGATGTACCATGGCACTTTGAAGACTTTTAACAACTTGTAGCTTTTAGATAGTAGAGTCGGCAGCTTTGCAATACGCGACACACCCATAAAGTAATGCTGGCTAATTATCTGGCTATAGATCAGCTTACTGTTCTTCGCGCTAAGATTGTTGTGTTTGAAAAGTGGTTGTAAGCAGTGCAGTGTTTCTGGGTTTCTATTTTATATGTATAGTTGATATCTTTATTTTCATTTGTTGGTTAGAAGTTATTTCAAAGCAAGATTGAACCAAACTACTTAACGCAATTACGATAAGTTACTCATTGTTGTTAATTTTGCTCTAAATTAATTTAATTGTAAGCATATTTTTTTGATTCAGATACATTGACAATCTTCCTTCACATACTTAATCAGCTAAATTCCTTTATTCATTTTTGAAAGAAATTCCATTTGCAGCAACACAACAACTGCAGAATCATGTAAAAATGGTTCATCACTTACCCGTACTCAATTTTGGTAGCTCAAGTGCGCAACTAGCTTTACCACTTCATCAACCAGTCGATAATGCAGTAATCATCCTAGAGCTCAACAACAATGACAGTAAAAATGACAACATAACCAACTGCAGCAGCAGCAGCAACAACAACGCTGGACAGAATACGTGTCAAGGAGTAACAGATGTTGAAACTGACAAAGCTGAAGATGAAGATGAAAGTGTCAAAATTGATGACAAAGTGATGGCACATCGCAATTGCAGTAGCAAGGAATGCTGGATTAGAATAAAAATGTTAGGGTAAGTAAAATTGAATACGTTGTGAGTGAAAGAAATGTAAGGAAGCACTTAAATCGGAAATAAAAGGATAGACAAGAAAAAATATGTGTATATATATTCAATTAAAAGATATCCGCGAAGGATCAAAAGATTTTCATTTTGCACTTTTGAAACGATTGAAGTGATACTTAAGAGTTGACACTACTTCATTTTTCAAACTAAATCTGCACTTGCTTTGGTAACTTCATTTCAAAGTATACCAAGTATACCAAGTATACCGATAGCTAAGTCAGTTTATTTATGTGTATTTGTATGTCCTTTGTGCAGCTTTGCTTTAACTAAAGTAATTTTTTCCAATTTTTTTTTCATCATTTTTTAATTTTTTTCTTTCTTATAGCAAGGATTGCATACAAACTGCAGCGTTGCTATTGGGAAGTGTGGCTGAAAGTGCAGATTTCATGTTGGAAACTCAATTAAGTGGCGGCAATAATAGCAACAATGATGCAATAACGTCCACGGAAGTGATAAACCAAAACACAAATGGTATCGAATGCCAAGAACAACAACAACAACAACAACAACAACAAACACAACAACATCAAGAAATGAGGTCAGTTGTGCACTCAATGGAAACGACAACATGGCAAGAGATTTTTAACCAACAATATTGCAACAACATTATCAATAATGATGGCAACATTGCCAGCAATAGCAACAGCAACAGCAGCAGCAACTTCAGTGCTTTAAAAAATTGTTCGCATATTGTAAGCAATGGCAAGGATGATTACAATTTAAGCGTAATCAGCGTAATTTATCTGCAACAGCAGCACCGGAAGCAGCAACAATATCAGCAACAAAATGGCGACGCTGCAATTGCTGTTCGTGAAGGAGCGACACATGCTCATAATTTGTTATTGAATATTAATGTAAGACATAAATAAAAATACATAGTTTTTAATAGTTTTCCATGGTTGCGACAGCAACACCGAAGGCTCCGAAGACTGTAAAATAAATAAATGGATCAGCCGTTAAATGGGTGCGAGTTGGAAGAGAAAAAGTTGTCATAATTAAGTGCAGCACAGCAAGGATAATTTATTTACTTTTTTTTTTTTGATTAATTTTCACCAACACTTGCAACTCTGCGTTAAATTATGCTACGGCACGTTTCGTTGAGGGCGCTTCCATTGATTTCTAATTTGTTGCGCTTTTGTGTACTAGATTCAACTTTTTCATTCCGCGTTCACTTTTTCGCTGTAGAGCTGCTCCTGCAAACTGGACGGTTGCCATTTGCATTGATTAAAATGTCAACTAAACCGGAAGTGGCAGTTTAATTTGTACGCGATAATTGAATTTTATTTTGCTCAATTTTGCCCGCACAGATTGATTTGCCATTGCTGCTACCACTGCCTTGGCGTCCATTGTGAAGCATCAAATACAGCAATGGCGCGATGGCAGCAATGGCGGCAACTGCAACAGTGATGGCAACTACAGCAGTGATGGCAACTGCAGCTAAAGTATGACCGTGAATATGGCAGCTGTACTCGGCTGAGATGGCAAATAAAGAAAATGGCGTTAACAAATTTAATTACGTTGAATACGTCATTATGCGCGGCTTCAAGTCGCTGCATTATATAAAGTGGAAATGAAGTTATTCTCCATTTCCTACTTCCCTTTCACGATTCTATTTACTCGCTGTGAAATTACACAATTTCTTCTCATTATCGACATGATTGAAAAAATCTTAAATAAATTGAATTTTAATTAAAGTAGCCACCATTGGTAAAAGCAAATAAACGCAATATTTACTTATGTGGCTTGTCGTGCATAATTAAAGAAGATATACTTGATTTGGAAAGAGAACAAAACCACTTACACTCTAGAGGAAGAATTTTAAGATTGATATCAGAAGTTATTTCTAAAGAGAAAAGAATAAATAAAATTATATTTTAAAATAAATTAAAGCTATGCATAAGGTTTTTTGTAAATTTTTACTTTTAATAATTTTATATATAACATAAGTTTATCAGATTTTAATTGACACTAATATAAGCTAAATCGGAGTAAATGCTTTATACTTTATATTTAAAAACTAGGTATAAGTTATACATTTTCTTTTTACTTTAAATAGATTAATAAAAAATTAAACAGCATTAAATGCATACACAGAGAAATAAAATTGATGTATGTTTACTATTATATACTTTATATATTTACTTTTTTAAATTTTATATACATATTTTTACTTTAAATAGATTAATAAGAAATTAATGCTAATACACATGCATTCACAGAAAAATAAAATTAGTTTATATTTTGATAATTTTTTAAAATGAGAAAGCAATATCGTATTTAAGGGGCAGTTAGGGGATAATGTCTTCCCTACTTTGACAGTATATCTAGTATAAAACTAATAAAAACTACGTAATGCTGATATGCATTCGTTTTTATGTTGAAAAATTAAAAATTTTGACGACATTAAACTTCAAAAACACTTGAGAAACTTAACAGCTTAGGAAAAGATATAAAGGAGTAGGAGGAAAAGAAGCGAAGGAGCTATTTCTAGTTTATGAGCAACGGGTGTATTTATATAAGTATCTTAGAAAAAATTTTAAACACTTTAGAGTTAAATACATAGCAAAACAAAATACATTAGATGTATGTATATGATGCTAACTTTAAGGATCTAATCCTGTACTATATATAACCTTGCAAATACATTGCACATAGAAGAACTATAAAAATTACCTAAAAGTATGTTATGTATACCAAAATTTCAAATCGCAATGTCCTTATTAAAAAAAAAATGTCATTATAGTCTGTTATTTCTGTTGGTTTGTAAATATTTCGGATTTTACAGGACTTTTTGTATAATTGCAAAAATTCTCAAATTCACAGTACAAAATTGTTCCATTTCACATAAAATTTTGTGATTTTAACAATGTGCCACCTCGATTGTGGCGCATACATATGCTCCTCCTCTGGTTTTAATGTTCTTCATAATTTGCAGAGGTTTGCAGAGATTTTAGAGCTAATTTCACCATTTCGCGAATACCGCATTTTTATTACATATTTTAATATTAAGTTTTTGCAATTTCAACAGTTTTTATTGCACAAAAATTATTAAAAAACATAAGCGGTTTTGTTGTTTCCAAAACAACCGAATTATTTGTTGAGTGCTTGTTGCAGTTTTTAATTAAAACGAGAAATATCGTAAAATGTGGATTTGTTGCAGACCAACTAAATAGTGAAACTTCCACTACATTCAGATAGCAAAAAGAGTTTATAAATTTTATTTTATTGTTGAAAAAGTGTTTTTTTATAGGTTAAAGTACAAACCTTGGCTATGTCAAATATTGCTTAAATATCATAAAGTTGCATTATTCCTGTTACTGAGAGTTTAACAAAAGAAATATTTGAAACACTATTATAATATTATAAAAAAATATATATCTATATTAATATATTATATATTTGTTCTGTCACTTTTGCCTTGATTATTCCTTACCACGAGTACTAAAAAAATGATTACTATGCTTGAAAAAATAAAATACTGCTTTCAATCCCTATAAATAGGCAATCAAATATGAATGAAATTATGCATACGATTTTTTTGCACCCCTAAAGATATGCAACAATTCATATCACATTAAGAAGAGTTGGAAAACTCAGCTTTGTATTATTATACTTGGGCAATTCTGCGACATTATAATATATCATACAATCATATATTATGATTTCATTATATTGAGAGTAGGTTTACTGCATGCGAATCAATCAATTCCTCTCATATATTATTTCCATCAAGAGGTGAGTGGGAATAAGGTTTTAACACAGCCAATAAAGATTATCATCTCTTAATGGATGGTTCTAAAATGATGAAGAGTGGGCCTTTTTTACTTTGCAACTTCGTCTTATGTCTTGCAAGTAAAATTCATTATATAAAAAAAAGATGACTATTTCATCCAACACAGAGATTTAATCTCTATGTTATGCTGGAGATTCAACTTCTATGTTGGGTCATCACAATGTTCAACAATAGAACTTAATTTCTGTAGATTTTGAAAATATCACAAGTTATTAAATTTATAATAGGCTTTAGTGAATAAGTATATGAGAAATTGAAACCCGAAGTTTGTAATTTTCAATATTTTCTCATTTAATAATACCGACGATTCGACATTTTTTTGAATTCTTCCTAGTGGTGTATGAGTTTAATAACTAATTCAATAAACTACAAATCGATGTTCATACCGTATTTCAGTTCCGGCAAACAAATGGTTGTTCCATGATGAATTGACTGTTTTACGTTCCTGTAATGGTATAGTTGCCACATGATCAGTTTTCCCGAAAAAATAAAGCGATCTTTTGTTTCGAAGTGCGACGAGCCCGAACAACTTTTGTTGGATTTGGGTGCTCTTAAACACCCATACAGTCGACTGCAGTTTACGTTCCCGCTCATACTGGTACACATACTCATACAGTTTTTTGAAGCACTCCCATTGTATTCCACAAATTAGAGCATTTGTGTGCATCAATCGACACTAGCATCTTTTTGCGATTTTGTCAAATGATAAAGGATGGGAACCAACGAGAACAAATCTTTCTCATGGCTAAATGATCGTGCAATATTTTATATATGCTGGTGGCACTCAAGCCTAGGGATCCCTCAATCACTTATAATGATCTTGCATTATCAGTTTTTGCATCAACAACTAGCAACGGAATTTGGATAACCTTCACGAATTTCGTCAGTGAGCCAAGTGTGGACACGTTTAAAATCATTGTACCAGCGTTTCTCAGTGGGAAAGGATGGAATTTCATTGCTTAATGTGGAAAAAAAATTGATCGAAGCACTCTTGTCTTGATAATCCACGTAGAAAGTCGTAATACTCGTATTGTTAGGGGAAATACTCGTAAATCATCGCACAAATGTTTTCTCTCGTTACGCTCTTTTGACAAAAAGTTTCAAGTAGGTTATGTTAAAGAATGTCAAATTTTCGCAAGGAAACGTCAGACGACATCTGACTACAATCAGTGTTGCCAAGGCTCAAAATTTAAACAGTGAGCCTCGTAATGGCCGAAAACATCAAACTTTTTAATAGAGAGTCAATATTCTAAATAAGTTTCGTACAAGTACGGTAAATATTTATTTCAATAATTACTGAAACTATTATTTTCAATTTATTCTTAAGAAATTTTAATAACATTACTTAGTACCTTCAACATACCAAGAAATAAGACACCAAAACTATTTTTATTTTATATTTATTTTATTAAGATTTTTGATATGAGATGTAAAAGCAAAGTAATGACCCTTTTTTCTTTAATTAAACTAATTCTCTATTTTTGCCCAATATTAGTTGTATGAATATGCTCTGTACATGTACTCTTCCAATTAAGCCCACTTATCTGAGCACATATTTGATGTGCTAAGTGGAAGGAGTTCATAATTCATGCCATAATTCAAATACTTTTCTGGTGCCTGCAGGCTTACCATGCAGCTTACATCATGAAATATTCAAATTTTACACACATTTGAGCCGATTAGACACAAAATGGATGTATTTGCTACGTTGCACAAATGTGATTGTGCAAAATTTTATTTAGAATTAAAATATTTTTATTATTTCAGCATTTGAATGGAATATAAAATTTTTAATCAATTTCATATAGTTTTAACAATAATCATAAATCCCTGACAATAGGCAAGTTTTGACAAAAAATAACTATTTTTTGGAATTTATTTTCAAAATTTTATTTCTGAAAACAATAGATGTAACATATATGCATATACATACATATATTTAAGACTACTTATATTTTTTTTTTTTTTTTTTTTTGGTATGAATATGTAATGAACTCTTTGAGCGAAAATCAAATATCATTTATAAATATTATTACAAATAAATACTCTATTTATTGCACATCTGATAGAATTACATTTTAATCCAGAAAATATTTTGTTGATACTCGTAGATTTAAATAAGTAAATCAAATATAAATAAAATAACATTAAAATTTAAATTTCAAATTTATTAAATATTTTTTTTAGGTAAACTAAACATACGAGGTGAGCCATATTAGGTGGAGCCACCTAACAAAAAAAAATTTGAAAAAATTGCGAATAGCTACTATTTCCTGGCAGATGTATTCCCTAAATTTCGTCTAGCGTCCCATGGCTACTATTTTCTGGCAGATGTATTCCCTAAGTTTTAGCTCCAATGGCAAAATGTGCTGGTTAGTTTTTCCTGGCAGATGTATTTCCAATATTTCGTCTAGCGTCGCAGGTTTGTTGATATAGTCCTCTCACTGCAAGTAGCATCAAGGAAAAAAGGAAAATGGTGTCAAATCCTGTTAAAATCAAGCAACCTGGGAACAATGGCTTTAAAAAATCGGGTGTAGCACGAACTGTATGAAATAGTGTGCCATTATATAAAAGTTTTCCATGCTATTTTCTCAAACAATCGTTATCAAAAAATCGTTTATCATAGCCTGATAACGCACCTGATTAATGGTTGCTTGCTTTGCCACTGCCATCTTTGAAAAAGTATTATCCGATAATCATATCAGCATAAATTTCGCACTAATTTGAGAATTCTCAATGCCGTAGAATCGATTCATCTTGCTTAAATTCATCTTATCGCTCATACAATTGTTCTTCAAAAATCTATTAAGGTTTGGACAAAACCTAGCGATGGGACTAATCGGTTAGCAACAATTGCTGAATTTGAATTTTGTACAGGAATAGTTTGAAATCACAACTAATGATGGATAGTAGAATGATGGATGAGAGATGCTTAATTTCGTAGAATAATGACAACTTGATTTGCGATGATCAGTCTACACTGGCTTCTACAGCAGCGTTATATTCATCAAATCGTCTCGATTTTTATTTAAACGTCTGGGATTATTGACAGTACCAGAAAACAAAACAAAGTTTTTTTCAACACGATGGATTAGT